CTAATATCGCACGTGGGGGTTAGGCACTTCTGAGCATACATAACACATGATTACTCCACCTCAGTCACTGAAGGTTGTCAGCTTCATCGACTAACTTGTCTAATCTCAACAAGATGATATCACTACACCCAAATAACGCCAAGAAGACACCTATGATCAAAAATGTGTAACCTCCCCATGCCTACCTTCACATTCATCGAACAGAATATAGCAAACTGTTGAGCAGTGTACTCGTCTCCGATCGTTTAATGCATCTCCCAAGTAGGCCATGAGTCGGAAAATGCTAAACACAGCTTATGCATTCAAACTGAAATTTCGTCAGCGAAAATCCATTTAAACAGTTGCAACTTCCCAAACAGGTGGAGTAGTCAACGTATTTTACCCCTCCACTTCCTTTCCTTAAATCAGCAAATGCACACCAGCCATGCGACGTTAACTTACATTTAACAAGTGCAAAACGCAAAACAAAAATGCTCAGGTTCCCACTAGAGCCATTCAGAAAACTGAACTTTGACACCACCTTTGTTTACCAGGAATAAGTCGTCTGTGTACTTTAGGTTAACCAGCTGCCTCTCTAAGAATAAGTTAACCCTTGAGAAACCCGAGGTACTAAGGATTATGACCACCAGAACACAGACAACAAAGTCAAACTGAAGTGATGAAGGCCAACATCCCTGGCTAACATCAATAGTTGTCGTTGCCTTCAACGATAACTCATCTAAAGTCCTTACACACGGATGCGTCAGTTGCGGTGAAGCCTTGATTAGCATTACATACTTGTCCGGTATTCCCTAAGCAGTCAGATATTGCCAAAACACCTCTAGGTCAATGGAGGTGAAAAGAGCCTTCAGGTCAAGAAATCTGGCAAGTCTTGCATACGGCCAAGTATGCTTACGCTACAAAACCTGTGGAAAGGGTTACAGTATCCTCGTCCAAGTATGAAATATGCCTCGTTTTCTCGAGCTCCAAATAGATGCAGCATTACTACAGACTGTAGGATCTGAGACACTATGGTAGTCTAACTGGTTTCTCCCGTTCTTTTAGGCTGGAAGTGATGAGCGATCCCGACCAGTCTGACAGGACTAACTCTGGCCTTCACGAATGTTCACATCATATTTTGATATAGATAACATAACACTGGGATGTAAATATAGTTGAGAAGTCTAAAATGGTAAAAACAAAACGTACGCTGAACCAATGCAAGCCACTATCAAAAACAACCAAGATTAACCACCCTCTTCAGTGAAAAAAAATTTAATGGTTATATTTGGTAATTTACCTGGTTTTGGCTAGCAGAGGAATTCAGGACGCTCGTTTCATATAACAATGGAAAATTACAAGTATATCAACAAATAAAGGGATACTTATTGAATAAACTAAGATATTTCCAACAATTAAGTTCAACAGTGGAATCACGAACAGTAATTTTGTCCGAAATTTCACCAAGATTAAAAAAACATTGTTGTGTAAACATTCGTTACAAATATATTTATAATAAGATATTTCAACCTGTAATGTGCACATGTTAGTCTCCTATAATAAGACTGAAACGTAGGGAGGAAACAGATGATGGAGCCCTTAAATCAACTCTGAAGTTATAACTCAGGGAATTCACAAGGAGAGTCTTTACTGCATCCAAGAAAATATTTCTGAAATGTTTATTGACGGTTTTAATACACAACCTATCAATGCCGGTTCAACTTTCTTTTTAACGATACCAATTTTTTTACGGAGTTCTGAATGTTCTTATTTAGTCTTTCGGATATTTAATGCTTTCTACCCTCCAAATTGTATGTCACACAAAAGCGATGGACATTAATTGACCATTAAACAGTGACCACTACTATGTTCCAGTTAACAACACTAATAGACAAAATCCTGATAGTAAAATTAAAGATTTAGACCTAGTGCTGCATTTGATGTAACTAGTTATACTCTGTATATGGCATAACAGCAGCTCGATCAGTTGTATATTTCAGACCGCATTCCTTATTATTATAGGTGTGATTTTAGACAGGAGTGTAGGATTATAGGATGTGAACCTCATTTAGATCATCGAAAACGATGGCTTCTCACCCATACAACTCCTAATCATGCCGGAAACAGTCTTCCGCATAAATAAAAATTTCAATTGTGATGCACAATACAAATAGAACTCTGGTTTCGGTAATAATGGATGCATAGCATGGAGGCACTCAGCACAGAAACTGTCAATTATCCTCCCACTTCAAAGCATCGCTGAACTGAATTAAAACCTAAAATGAAAGACAGGCACGGAACGCGTAGACAAACTTCAGATCCGTTAGCCAATAAGTTCATCCAATTAATAGTGGGATAACTCACGTGCGACCGTCAAGCCAGTTTCATAGCACAAATTTACTAAACTGCAGTAGGGTTAAGACTGTCCACACTAATTTTCATCGTTATCACCGACTTTCATCTTGAAATGCTGATATTAAGCATGGCAACTTCACCTGTTGTACATGCCTTACGAGCGATACTACTACTTGGCAGATTTCGAATGTCAGTCTTGGGTTAGAGTGCGAATTTGTCAGAAACGAGAACTGTTAATAATTTCCATCATTGTACAAGTAGCAACTTGATAAGTACATGATTCCGTCTCATTTTCAAGATAATAAAGTCCACAACCATTTGATGCGAAAGTGAACCCCATGAGAAAGAACAGGAGTCAAAAGCTTTTGTAACTAGTTTGCTAAAATTAAATCTTCCTGCACTTGATCAAGAAACACAGGCATACTAAACGCAATCAGAGATCTTATGATTGTATTTCTTAGTGAGATGGTTACCTTAAAGGCATATTATCATGGTTTTTCTTGAACATTCGTTGGCGTCTTAGAATATATGGTTAAACTTTTAGGCGCTTACATTCAAAAGTATTTACCGAGCATGTACTTTTCTGAATATTCTTTCAACTTACGCTCATATTGTTCTCTCCTAGTTTAAAGTGACTAATTTCCATCCTGGTATGCTTCCTAAGACAATTTTCTTACTAGACGAACTTCATGGTCAAAGACTACATGCGACACCAAGATACCCTAGGAATTTTTTTCTTTTCCGTGTACTGACTCACAGTGCAACAAGTGAGATCAATACACAATTACACTACGTCCTTCAAATTTTGTCGGATGTTTTGCTGAGACAAATTTACAGAGACCAACTCCATAAAAGCTATTAGAACTAGTGTTCATGGAGGATCAACATTAGTTACAGAAACATCGATAATCGGGAAGCACCGAACTGTTTAGTCCTAGCACGAGACTCCTCAGTAGTGCACACCAACAAACTCCCCGGGGATCCAAACTAGAATTATCAGGTTTCAGTCAGCACGTTACCATACTTATTTTCAGATACAGGAATCATAAGGACAAACTGTAGCAAAACTAAGAATATAGTTTGTAACTCGCTGGATCACTATAACATATGAACTCTTCAGTTCCAACGGAGACCGCATATGCCAGGTGCTACCTACCTATAAACTAAGGATGGTGAACAATTACCTAAACCATCGAGCTATCATGAAAAAACTACTGTCCAATATCTTTAATGAAATGAAAGTCAGAAAATAAGAATTCACACTTAAACAGGATTCGAGTGAATACTATCTTTTGCACTAACACTCACTTTTATTTAGGTAATGAGCTCTTCAGATTATGGACAATGGAACTATAAACGGCCAAACGACAAAGAAGGCATCCAAAAATCCTTAAATGAAACTCGAAATCGAACTCTTCAAACAATAAATAATACTGGGGAACCTAAATACCTTGATAAAATCCCACCTAATTCAAATAAACGGGATAACAACATTCAAGCTAAACGATGTGCTTAAAATAAACGCGATCCCATCGAACCTAAACGTATCGATACTTCCACAAAGCCAGTAGACACCAAGCATGGATGAATTCGTAAGCAAAATCAAACAATTTATTTCTTCTCTTTAGTACTCAAAAACTTCATAAGTGTTTGAATAGGACGGGTCATTTTCGCGACGAAAAAGGGTTGAAGTATGTAGGTAAGAAAAAGCTAGCTAAAACATTTATTGAGAGTAATGTACATAAAGTCACAGTTCCTCATGTCATTTTGCAACACAAGGAAGATTTTTTTAACTTCAGAATTCCACAAGGTTAGCACAATTGTTGTATTCAATAATACATTAGCATACACATGAAATCGACAGGAAACATAAATCATAACAACAAGTCAAAGGATTTATATTGGCTTGTGCGATTTTTTTATTTGGAAAAAGTATGATTTCAGTTTCGAATAAAAGACGAAAAACGAAATATAAAAGCGCTTATAGACAGTTAAATAGGTATATTAGTGAAAAATGAATTTTCGCCAATGTCAGTGGCGGTTTAAGTTATGCAAAAAAGCAACAGTTCAAAAAGAAATATTTACACACAGAGATTGAACGATAAGATTGATGTCATCAAGAGCAAATAAATTTGATGAACAGAAAAGTTGAATGGTTTGTGGCCGTGCAAAAATGCCATTATTTCTATTTTGCTTGAAAGGCTTAAATCAAAACTAAGAACATTGACAGAAAACATATTAACCGCACGACGAATCCATTTAAAAACGTGATTACATTTTATTCAAAATACAACGCATCGAGAAGTCAGATAAAGCAGAACTATTACTTAATTACATTATTTCTTCTAAAAAATTGCATCATTGGATTCATCGACTGAGACTTAAGAAAACCGAAAAAACAAGTCATATAAAAAGTGTGGACATTTCAGATTTTAAAGCGAGTGCTTATTTACGACAGAAATTAAAGTAGCTCTCCAGTTTGGAAACTGTAGCAGCATACGTAGAATTATGCTAAATCAGACGAGAATTATGTGTAGACTGGACATTGAAGAAGACCAGGATACGAATACAACTATTAATAGTATCATTTCAAAGCTCCTGACATATCAAATTGCAGTTTTTTTTGCTTAACCGATGCCACTGTCACCAAAACCTAATACAACTGATCACTGTATGCAGCATTTTCGTTTGCGCTTCTTACGATCTTTACCCTTCTTCTGTTTCTACAAAGTAATTCCAAAATTTAAATAAATTGGCATAGATAAAAAGATTGCACCGCTTCTATTATTATTTCGGATAACTACAAACTAAAATAACCGCGTATAAAGTGAGCACAAACAAGTGCAAATTAAAAAAAAACCTAGCACAAACGCAAACCAAACTTGTAACACTATTCCTCACCAGTCAGTTTCCATCAATGTGAAATCGAAAAACAACCAATGATCGAACGTTTAGCATTCATGTCATTAAATTTATAAGTAGTTTCTTCGAAATATGAAGGAACCAAGAGTGATTATTCATTTCAGGGTTGTCAGTCTATTGAATTCATTATACAGAAAACTAGTGGTTTGGCAGCCATAACTCGCCGCCTCATAGCTTTACGCAGGTCATTCATTGCACAAATAGAAAGTATACTTCCCAAATGGATTCCAGTGGAGTCAGTTTGCTGATCCAGTGGACAGAGATTAAAGGCATTCTTAGATTCACTACGTTAATCAATCACATAATAATTGCACCAGAAACCCGAAATTTAGTGAGAAGAGCATACCAACGATATGGGGAAGAAAACTGTATTTTGCAACAGTGAGAAGTCATTCCAGCTTATTCGAGTCACCAACTAAATAAAGCCTGATTCCAACGCCTGTGAAAGACAAAATCAACGTAGAACATCGCATACGAGTGCATCGGTTCAAGTTCCCACGCTCCACAGCAGTATATGAAGAATAAGTGGATAGAAAGAGTAACATTAAAGTTGACCAAGACGTGTGACAGAATAAACAATTCAAAGATAACGGTTAGTGCAAATATTCAAGCTTCAGAAGACGTTAAAGAATGAATACATCTGAACCACTGTGACCAATTTTCAGCCATTCCACCAACAGTCAACCACTGATTCTTATCGTCTCAGAAACCTCAGCCAAGGAGTAGTCTACACCTTACCACACGGCTTAGAACAAGTCAGAGACTCCAAGAATTAGTGTCAAGTTTTTATCTGGCTACCCTGAACTCTCTTTCAACCTAACCCAACTATTCCTAACACTGCACGCTGAATTAGATGATGACAAAGCATACACAACATATATTCAGGTCACACTAGTCGACTAAGGTTCACAATTTCATCGACTGACATGCTCTCATTACCCAGAACCCTTCACCAAATCTCGACATCGCTAACGTGGTGATACCACCAAATATCAGTAAGGCTACAAAAATACCTATGGTCATAACCAGCAACCACTTCATATATCCTACTTTTTATGACCATCTCACAGTCGTATAACAAGAGAGAACCAACTGCAATGCAGTTCACTCGTCTTTCAATAGATAGTCGGATGTCTCACCGGCAGGTGCCAAAGATGACGAAAGCTGGCGAATCCCGAACGGGCCTTCTGTTTTCGAACTGAGATTTCGTCAGCAACTAGCTTGTTCGCGTTCACGCAACTTTATCACGAAACTGGAAGTAGTTTTAGACTAGTGCAGGAGAATCATCTTGAATTCGATAGCTGCAAAACGCATGCAGAACATACTCAGATTCCTGCTCAACATGTTCAGAAGACCCTGCATTGTGTCAGCGCCTTCAAACTGTTCTGCCCAACGTTTGAGCCACCTATCCAGATGGGACAAGACTCCAGTTGGCGACGGCCACATCAAAATTCTAATGGGTGGGGTGACATGAATGCCAAAATGGGAGCAGACAACACAGGAAAAGAACCAACTATAGGCAGACAAACACTCAGTGAAATGAATGAAAATGGAGAACTGTTTGCAGACTTCTGCCCATTTAACCATTTGGTGATCGATCGGAGGCACTGTGTACAAACACAAGGAGATTCACAAAGCGACATGGACTTCACCAGATGCACACACTACACTAAAAATCAGATCGATTTCATCTCAATATGAAGAAAGTAAAGACGCAGCCTACTAGACACAAGATCAGATCAAGAAGGAGGGCAGATGTAGGTTCACACCACTCGTACCACTATCAAGTGCAAGGAACCTGACTTCAAAACCAAGTTGCAAGCCTTCACAGAAGTTGGTGATAGACCACAATTCCAGTTCAACACCCAGAACAGAAAATGAACTCAAGGACAAAACTACAAAGGATATCTTCATATCAGCTATCAGAACAAAATGGGAGACATTAGGCAACATCCCAGAAGAAACCGACGTGCAAGAACACTGGAACTCTGTGAAAGACACGTGGAAAGCAACCTGCATAACCGTGTTAAGAAGGAAGAAGAAGAAGAAGAAACAAGACAAGCAATCGATCTCCATGGATACATGGAAGCTGATAGAAGAGAGAAAGATGGTAAAGCTCAAGATGAACCAGTGCAGTGGAGTGCAAGGATGAACAACGAAAAGAGTAACTGAACACAAGCCATAAAACACTACACTTGACAAGGAAATGAAGAGTGCGCACAAAGACAGAAGACTCTTCTACGGCACACTGGCAAGTGAAGCACAACAGGCTGCAGGCTACAGGAGAGACAGGGACCTGACAACACTATATCAAATAATCAGGTTACTGTCCGTGAACAGATCAAAGCAGATGAAATCAATGAAAGATACTCAAGTAAACCTAGCTAACAAACAGGAGAAACAAAGGAAACAATGGGCTGACCACTTCAAAAAGCTCTTGAATCGACCACCACCACCACCACCTGCAACTCGTCCTGAAATACCACCAGCAACCACAGAATCACCAGTGAACACAATCCCTCCGACAAAAGCAGAATCCCTGAATGCCATAAAGTTACTGAAATCCGGGAGGGCAGCACGACCCGATGGAATTCCGCCAGAAGCACTGGAAACAGACGCAGAGACAACAGCGGACATGCTCCCATCACTACTGTAGAAGGTTCAGAAGGAAGGGAAGGTGCCTGCAGATAAGAAGAAGGGGTACCTTGTCAAACTTCAAAAGAAGGGAGACCTAAGTATCTGCACTAACTGGCGGGGAATCATGCTCCTGTCCACTCCAAGCAGGCAAAATATTAAGCCGCATCATTCTACAGAGACTAGAGGATGTGCTGCATTCAAAACCACTACCAGAACAGGCTGCCTTCAGGAAGAAATCACGTGCGGACTAAATTCCAACCCTATGCTACGCATCGCCATAGAATAGAGCATAGAATGGCAGTCAACTCTCTACCTCAACTTCATCTACTTTGAAAAGGCCTTCGACAGCGTCGATCGAGAAGTAATTTGGAAATTGCTTCAACACTACGGTTTTAGTGCCACAAACCTTTATCAACCTCATTCAACAGCAGCTAATATGTCAAGTGACTCACAATGGAAAGCGCAGTGACGCCATTTGAAATGAAAACAGGAGTAAGACAAGGCTGCGGCCTACTATCACCGATCATCTTCCTGATTGTGGTCGACTGGACTGAACTGGATCATGCATCAGATAACTGTGGGGAGCGAGAAGATGGGCTGGACCCATGAAATACCCTAGGAAATTTGGATTTCGCCAATGATCATTTATGTTTAATGTCTTATCGCACAAACTCGAAGATCTACAGGCAAAAACCAACAAGTTGACAGAAAAGGCAGAGCAGCGAAGGAAGATGGGACTTCCTTCAGGTGAACATAGGGAAGACAGAGGTGGTCAAGGTATCCAACCATTACTAACAACAACAAGCACCGATCACCATCAGTGGGAGAAACCTAAAGGAAGCAGTCTCTTTCACTTACCTAGGTAGCATTGTTTCAACCACAGGTGGCACAGATGAGGACGTCAAAGCCAGGATCGGAAAGACACCAAGACAGGCCTTCCTTCGTTAACCTGAAACAATCAGTGTGGAGATCTACTGCACTGCACTGCACTGTACTCAGCATAAAGCGTGAACAAGATCCGGATTTTCAACAACAACGTCAGGTGAGTGCTTCTATATGATGGTTGAGAGACTTGGTGCGTTACGATAAGCATTTCCAACAAACTACAGACATTCATCAACAGCTGCCTACACTCGATACTGAAGATCAGATCAGATGGCCAGAAAGAATAAGCAACAAGAAACTCTGGCTGGTAACGAACCAACCAAGAACCCATCGTCCAACAAATATGCAGAAGAAAGTCGAGATGGACTGGGCATACACTGAGAAAACCACTCGGAGACATCACGCGTCAGGCCAGGCAGTCGAGTGGAATCCAAAGGGGAAACGATGAGTTGGGAGTCCGAGGCGAGGGTGACATGGAGGAGATCGTGTGAGGAAGAAATGAAAGCTTCTGGGCAGTCGTGGAGCTAAGTTCAAAAGACTGCAGATAATAGAGTGCAATGGAGATGTGCTACTGAAGTCCTATAGTTTCACTAGGAACCCAAGGGACAAATAATAATAATAACAATCCTGATTGACTATAAACGTCCCATCCTTTTCGGTGATGGCTTCACCGATCATCGCTTTTCTGTTAGTATCCTTATCAAGCCTAAATAGTTGCCGGGTATTACCTAACGCTGATGCCGAAAAACAAGCTTGAAAGGCACCTAGAACGCTGGTTAGAGTACCGTCAAAACAATTCAATCGGTCTAATGCCTAAGCCATTTCAATCTGTCTCTCTTGACCCACCTAATAAATGCAAATTTAAGGCTGAGAAGGATCTCCAAGTAACAAAAAACTATTATTCACCCGATCTACAAAAACTACCAATGACCCTTAGTAGCGAAGGAGTCAATAAATGTAATCGGAACTGACTTGATTTTGCTGGAAGATACAGTGTTCAGTAAATAAAGTGACAAACGTTTCCATTTTTAAAAAGGGTTAACGTAATACATGCTACAATCATCAAGGTATCGATATTCGAACAGCTGTGCCGAAAATAATGGCTGCTGTCATACTTCGCAGGCTCCGACAGACGCGAGGAAATTGGTCTGGGAGAAACCTAGGTAGCGGATGCCTTGACCACGTGTCTGTCGCCAATCACATTCTTTAACACTATCACCCCTTCTTGTTGATACGAGGGGTGTCCCGGATTCCTTGCACAGGACTTTATTAACACTTTGATATCGTGAAAAAACACCTTGTGAATTGATTACAATAAACAGCCACTATTCGTTTTGAAATTTCAATACTTGGGTTACATAGGAATGTAGCAGTCAGACGAAATCAACGCAGGACCTGGCATTACTGCTTGAAAGCTTGAGTTGCTGTACTTCATATCAACACATCAACCGAGAATGCAAGAATACAAAAGATGAAATAAAGAAGGCAGTCAAAAGTGGTAGAAAGTCGTGAAAAGAGATCAAGAAGGAATAAAACAATCACTAAATTCGATTCGACGATGAAAATGAAGGAAATGTGTGGATACATTTGCGCAAGTGTGACCGATTTTGAAGCTTGTCATCTAGTCTTTTAACATCGAATTGTGCTGTCTAGGCACAATAAATAGCATAAACAAGAGAAAGTAAAGCGAGCCGTTTGTATCTGTACAAAGATTTAGTCGGTCACTAACCCATCAGGGCTGATTCAACTCCCCAAATTAGTGATGATCAACGGATTCAACCGCTTAACTTCCTAAGAACAATGCCCAAGCACCAATTCGCCACACTTCATAGTAGTTCACGAAGTAAAGGTGGATAGAATAACAGCGATATCAAAGAAAATTAAATAATGTGAAACAATGAGTGATTTGAAGATTATGGTTTGTTCAAATATTCAAGCTTTATAAGATGTCAAGGAGTGAATACATCTGTGCCACTGTGACAGATTTCCAGTCTTTTCACCAACACTCCCCAACCACTGATTTTTATCTTCTCAAGAACCCCAATCATACAGTCTAAATACCTTCACATGACTCAGATCAACAGTTAGAGAATTCACCGACGGGTGCTAAGTCTTGATCTGGTCACCCTGAACCCTCTTCCAACTTAATCAAATTTCCCCTACCACGGCACATCGAAGTAGGCGGTGGGTCGGCATATGCAACACATGTCCAAGCCATCACAATCGATGAAAGTCCACAACTCCATCAACCAACTTGCCTAGTATCCTTCAACTGACATCAACAGTGCTCACACAGTGATCCCATCAAAAGATAGCAATGCTGCAAAGATACCTATGGTCAAAAACCCGCAACCACTTCATATATCCTACTTTTTATGACCATCTCATAGTCGTATAACAAGAGAGAACCAACTGCAGTGCAGTTCACTCGTCTTTCAATAGATAGTCGGATATCTCACCAGCAGGCGCCACAGATGATGGAAGCTGGCGAATCGCGAACGGGCCTTCTGTTTTCCAACTGAGATTTCGTCAGCAACCAACCCGTTACGGTTGATCCAACTCCCCAAGTAAGAGAAGGGGTCGACACATTCCACCACTTCATTACCCATCATTAAACTAAGAGGACCTGCAGCAGACCAGTCCTCGAGCACCACCACTCTACATTTGACACATGCGAAACGCATCCCAAACACACACACACACATCTCTACTCAACACATTCATAAGACCCTCCACTTTGTCAGCGTCTTCACCCAGCACAACACCATCTGCATAATCCAAGACAATCAAGTGACCTCCAGGGAGTTGGTCTATCCTCCTGAAGTCACACCTACTTTAGGTTATGTCCATTAGTACGTCTGGAACGAAGCTGAATAAGAACAGTGACAGTGGGTATCCCTGGTCGATACCACTAGTTGTCATCAGTTTACATGACAACTTCCCATAAGCCTGTACATGGCTGAGGGAGTTCGAGTAGACAGCTTGCATTAGCTTTATATACTTCCTCAGGACTCCTTTCACAGTCAGACACCCTCACGGTCCACAGAGTTAATTACCGCCTTCACGTCGAGAAATATGGCTGGCATCGGTCGCCGGTAGGTATGTCTGTACCCCAGAACTTGTAGGAGGGTGAAAATATTATCGATCCACACTCGACCAGCTCTGTCTGAAACCTGCCTGGTTTCTCCAATCGCTCCTCTCGACCTCCAGTTACGCATTGGATAACTATGGACCCTAGGATCTCTGACACTATTAGTCAAACTAATTCTCCTATGGTTGTCATAAGATTTCTCTTCCTTCCTAAAGACTGCAATGATCAGTGAAGTACACTAGTCAGACGACACTAACTCTGATTCCCATACACTACCTAGTACCTCTGTCACTTTATTTAGAAATTTCCTGTCAGTAACTGAAACGTTGCTGACTAGTTGCGCTTTAGTTACCCAACATCCAAAAGTATGAGATCTACTGAGTATTTTAAGCTGGCTTACGTGTCAACCTGAGTATAACTAAACACAATTGTTCAAACCAAATTTATGACCTGTTATGAAAGACAGAATATACCATTATTAATTATCTTGGTTTAATTTATTACTCAGTTGCTGAACCCACAACTTGATGGTTCACAGTAGGTCAGTCAGAGTATGGCAACCAGTATCACACAAAATTATGCACCACGCGGTGGTTCTTTTATTCATTAACGTAGTACACATCAACGGAAACACTTCTTTGCACATTATACATTTACCCAACCAACTAAATCGCGACTATCTGATATAACTAAGTGGTAACAGAAAACGTTGCCTGACAAACTATGTTATAATCTGAGCCATACCTAGAGTTTGTGATACTGACCGATCGCTTTAGGCGAAATAGGTGGAGCAGGAGTCGAACCTGGTAACAACCAGCTGGAGCTGGGATGCCCAAGATAATGAGCCACATCTTTCCATACAACTATGTATCGATGACTGATTGGTCAGTACAGGGGACCTTGCATCGGCGGGTGATCGTTATTGACCCTGAATCAAAGGATTACCCAACATTTTGCAGTATAAATTCATTTGACCCTATCCCATTAAATTTTAAGCTTTGTCAACTGCCTTTTCGTTCATGTCCGGTAAGTATTGAACGTTTTTTTTTATTTACTCATCCTGATTCTCTCTGTGTTCTAATGTGATATGTAATACTTATGGTTCCAGTCATACAGATTGGTGTACTACGTTGAGGTATAAGTATTGTGACAGGCGTGATACCGCTTAGTTTAAAAGTCGGTAAGTGAAGTGGTCTACGAATCCACGGTATACTGGTGAAATGTCAAGTAACTTATCCAATGAGTCACAGTTCGAAGTGATGCAAGTGAAATAAACTCTGTGGTGTTTCCTACCACTTTGATATAGTGATGAAAGAATACAAACTCTTTGCACACTACTGCTCTAATTATCATCCGTGAGCAAACCCACGATTGACTCATGCCAACAAACTTTGCATTTTGAAACCAACACCGTGCTTGTGTGTAATTAAGATACGATGTAGTGACTGTTTACATCAAAATCCCCTAAATGAGTTAGCATGGGTTGTAAAATATCTAAGTTCTGATACAAAGTTTACAAGTGTCTTAGAAAATGGCACTAGTAATATCTCAGCTATCGCTTCACCAACGGACACATTAGCGTAATAATTCAATCCAGCTTTACTAATTGCAGGGAGATATTTGTTTAGTTTCATATTTCCATTCAGCAAAGTAACAGAGTGAACTGCACTCATTAGAGACGAAGACTTCCTGCAACAGTAGTTTCCAGAAACATAATCCAAGGGTCTCCTAGGAGGCAGATTAAAACAGGTAGTGTCACAAGTACCAGTGAGAAACGTACAGGTACTGAACTGGTTAGTGAAGTGAAACCAATGATAAACATTCTACTCTGTGAACCATTTGGTGGAATAAAAATCACTGACTCTAGGTGCATTCTAAAGCTTAAAACCTTTCTGTTAATATAAGTGTCAACTCACGTCTTAGATTATTTTCATGGGATTAGCAACGAATACAAATAGAATCTATTACGGGTAATTGAAGTTTAGAACTAAGTCATCTGTCGGTTTTGCTTATGCTTCAGGAATCGAATCTCAAAATAATCAGCAAATAATTTCCAGTTCAAAATATAGGAACCGACATGTTAAATGAAAAAGGACTCTACAATTCTTTATGTGCTGCATGTAAACGTGATGCACGAAGCATAATGTTAACATTCGAGATATTAACTGATCGATCACGCAAGCCGAAATACAGCCTTTGTAATATCCCCTGCAGAAAAATGCTCTTCTGGTGCAAGCCGCTGGTGATCTCTTGAACAAAAAATGAATTGAATGTACATACAGATGGATGCGAATACATTTCGAATATTTCTGGTTGATTGAACTCAAAGATTGGAAGTGAATTACAAGTCTCGAGCCTGAGAATACTCGCCACAAGATCGTAGTGAACAAGGTCTAAATCACTATATTTGACTTAACTCAGTTATGCACTCGTGGCAAAAAAACTGTAGGTAATAAAGTCACTTACATATTTCCTAATCTCTCGAACAAGTGTGTAAAAAGCATCCTCGACTCCATGTCTAGTTTTGGCAGAAGTTTCGACATATGGAATATTATATGAGTTGGCTGACACTAATGCCTCACTTGTACAGACACTTCGATTCGTCAGATCAACTTTGTTTCCTACGACTAGAACTTATATGGAGACAGAACAAGTGAGGACTTACGAACCATTGGGACTTCATCTGCATCTTTAACCCTTTTGATTTGCTCCCGATACTGGTTGATATCTTCATAACTCTTTAAATTATTCACAGCAAAAACACACAGAAAGCCTTCCCCGGTACGCATGTACTGATCTCGCATGGCACTACCCAAATAGTTACCTAAGTGACAAAGTTACCTGTATTCTTCCTGACCAGCTGTATCTAATATGTCCAGAAGGCATATTTCCCCATCAATAACTACTTGTTTCCTGTAAGAGTCCTCTGTTAAAATTTAAATCAAGGGTTTTTATTCCAGATGTACCTATAGTCGGGTCATATTCCTCCACAAAACTAACAATGTTACTGAGAAGAAATAGGACTTACTGGTTTTGAATGAGCTGTATAGTAAGAGCACTTTTTCCAACACCACCAGCTAAGCAGCAAGGGATTAAAATAGAAAGGGTACCTATTACCTCCAACAACAACCAATTTGTATTCCGTCATATGAAGACAGCCTAGCACGTAAAGTCAACGGTGTAGGCCGAAATGGCCTTGAAATGATCGACAAAACAAGACATTACCGCCGAATCCACAAGCCAAAAGAGATGTGTAGAGGGAATCACATCAAGATCAAATACCTGCCGCCAAACAACAGTCAACCTCAATAGGCTTTAAGGCTCTGATTTTCGGTTGGTTATACTCCTTTAGTGGTCGTAGAAGTCTGCACAGTCTACTCGCTTCTAGCTATGCGAAAAGTGATCATCTAGTTAAGAGTTTTCGTTTGTTTGACTGCAGACGACCGGGGAAGCAACAGAGCTGCTGACAGTTTCAGTTAAAACTATACGATTCCTTGTTTTGCAGGCACCTGCAAGAAGTAGGATGAATAGATGATCAGCAAAGAGGAATGAAAGATACTGACGGAAGAGTACTACCAGTGATAATATGGATGGGTCACAGTGCAGATTCTGGGGTTACGCAATAATAGGATGGATGAGTATACCTTCAGTTGCCACCTGCATATGTTGGTGGTAGGCCATTTGCTTCCATACACTTATTGAGCGGCCGCTTGTAGGAGTCAGTTGATGTAGCTGTGAATACTTCTTTCGGCAAGGCGCTCCACAAGACATAGACCCTGTATGGAAAGTAAGATCTTCATCTCGTCTTCGCTATCCTGTGTTGTGTGCAGGTGGCTTTCCCGCGAGGCTGCTGGTCTCCGACACGTAATGCTGTTCTGCTTTGGTGGTTCACTTGATGTATGACCTTGTGTGCAGTTATTAGGCTCCCTTTTCTCTTTCCATGGCTTAAGGTGAACAATTTGAGTTGTCTAAGGGGTTCCGTATATGTCTGCTTGATAGTCCAGCGACTGAACTTATCACCCTTCTCTGAACCTTCTCAAGGGTACTAGCCTCTTTGTTTAGCAGGGGAGGGGCTATCGTGTTAAGTACCTTTGAGTTTGGTCTAACTAAGACCCCAAATACTATGGGGGATAGCTCGGGGACTAGGTCTCCAAGCTGTCTTCTTAGGAGGTCGCCTGTGGTGTTCGCCCTTGCCACCATACCTTGATAGCTGGCACAAGTATCTAGTGCATCAGGGAAGCTTACTCCTAGGCCCTTCTTTCCGGATGCCCTGGACGCTGCGAACCTATTGAGAATGTGGCTGATTTTCATCGCTTCCAGTGTCCAAAGAAATATCACTTTGCTCTTCTTCAGGTTAAAGTTCAAACTATTCTCCGCCGACCTGGACTTCAACTCCAGCAAATGGTCTTAGAGAACCCCGAGAACCTCTCCCGTGCCCACCATCCTCCACATTTTTGACGTCCTCGGCAAACAAGAGGATGACCGAAGAGACTAGAAATGGAGTTCGTTGATGAATAGTAAACATAGGAGTGGCCCTAGAATCGCTCATTGAGACATTCCTTTTCTTGTATTTCTTCGGGCCGATCGGACTCTGTTTACTTCAGTGCTGCGACTGGTTCAGTGACACCCACTCTTTAAAGTTTAGCGAGCATGCTGCGGTTTTAGGTGCTATCAAAACCTTTGGTCAAGTGCAGAAAGATAATGAGGACATTCGTGACGAAAACTGGCAAGTCTGTATGCATGATGTGCCGGAATTCTATTAATGAGAGGAAAAAATACTGTTCACGTAATATGTATAAGTTGTTTCTTGTCAACAGGCCCTAGGCCAGTAGCCTTCATTAACCGGATGTTACCTTTTCAGTAACGTGATTCAGAAGGTTGCTACGAAGCACCCCTATACATTAAGTACAGTGCTGAAACACCAAGACAAGAATAAACCTCTGAAATTGGAAATGCTGTTGGAATATACAAACATGGTTGCCGAAAAAGCCACTGATGGCCAGTCATCCAATCTACTTTAAGTCAGTTCCGCTTGTCAAATTCGACGGGCGTAGGGGTTTTGCACAACTTCTTGTGTGGTACTTTCTGTACCTCACCGCTACTTTCTGCTAAACATAGTACACGTTCGTTCGTTTTGGCATCCCGGAAAGCCTATGCTAAGAGTAGCCAGGAGACTTCTCACTGAGTTAGAGGGTGACAAATCGAGCAGCTGGGTCGCGTTACTTTCAAATGGACTGATGAATGGTCGGGCCACTTAAAAGTGCATTGAAGTACTGTTCATTCACAGACCATCAGTACCTTGAAAAAACGCTTTCATCCCCCTATAACCATGTGGCGAATTAAATTATCCCCGCAATCAAAAGAAAACATCACCACTCGCTTCTTTTCTGTTTGAGTGACTAGCAAAGCGGTCACAACTTTTGGACAACTTAGGCCTATCTTTGCCCAAACCCGGTCACAGGATCCTTCTTACCAGCGTCTCATTATCCATCCTAGACACAAGTCCACCAAGCGACTTCCCAAGATTGTGGATGCCAGTGAATCTCGACTGATAGAAACACTGAGCTATGTCTAATCATTAAAACCTATGTGCATTTGAGTTTAGTATTCAGATCGAAACATTCAGCTAACATCCAGCAACCTCACTCAGAATGCCATTTAGAATTGAGACAAGGATAAACCGCCATTCATAGCCAGCATTTATGCACGAAAACTATACTGATGCTTCACAGCTGACACCTAACTCAGTTTGCTTTTGTCCACGTCCATACTCCCGACCACCTCATCTTAAGTTCAGAGGAGGAAACTTACCTGAAGCACCCAGACCTCGCACTCGTCACGGTGAAGAAGCGTGACAAAGCACTCAAAGCCGAGAGATGTCATACAGCAGGTGAGTGGCTTAGTCCCCTAGAACATTACAGTGGTACGAAAAGTACGTACCTACTTTCTGAGAAAATCATGACCACTGTGGACTACTTGTAACTAACCATTTTGAGTCAGCTTCACGTTTTCATGGCCTAATAAGCTATCAATGTGTGTTCCTCCTCAGCTTTTCTCCTTTTTTATTAAACCAATCGCTGATCTCCTTCGTAAAGATAAAAAGCACGAATCTTGATATTGTGATCAAACTTGTTTTCCCTGAGCTCGAGCGAGCTATCGTGAATGCCACGGCTCAACTCGATCACGACCGAAAAACAACTTTGAGTATCACGTTTACTGTAGGTGGGGCCATTTCACAACAGCTGGTTGAAAACTGGTGGCAGCCATGAGCCGCTTTCTTGGAGGGTCTGCAAGAAGTAATTAATATAGTAACCTATTCGTACCCGCAAAAATGACTCGTGCACGTATATTCAGGAATAAATAGTGTTGTTACCAAGAGGAAGAAAGGTGTAATGCATTTGATAGAAGACCCAAAGCTGTGTACGTTTCCATGCACCAGTGGTGACATTCCATCCAAAGTCCTGATTTCATCATATTAACAGGCCAAAAGCCGTAAAACTCTTCCCAAGTCTAGATATCACACGGCTATTCCTCATATGGATTGCGTGAGACAGACGGCCTCGCGGCTCATCTCAAATGTCCAGGGCAAACAATTCGGTGAATGAGGCACTTACTCGAGCATCTTCAAAAAATCACTTCAAAGATAGTGGCTTCGTCGAACTGGCCTGTCTTCAAAAAGGAGGTTCCGGGCTGAACAGTGATTTTTGTTGCACAGCTCTCAAACTACATACAAGTCCGTCAGATATGCGTTAAGATGCGATTTTGTACGATGTATTCAGCACACGACCGTACCCAAAAGTACCCAAGAAATGTAGACACAGCGTCTTCAGCACCTCGCGCAAAATATCTCATATAGGTCAACGAACCACCATCAAGTTCCTTGCGCAAGGGTTCTGCTGTTCTTAAATGTATACAGACGTTGAATAATGAGCTGAATCATTTGTAATTTGTCGAGGCTGTTAAACTATCTGGTTTACAAAAAGATGTTCAATCACATTCCTGGCGCCACCAGTGAGCTTTTACCAGAATCCACTCGAAACACCGTAACTGGCCCTTGAACGTACAACAGTGCATCATATAGCTACTGCAGCAACACTCTGCTGGAAGAGAAAATTTTCACACCAGATGAATGAACCTCCACCACCATCCTAGGTGTGCCTTTCAATCGAACTGACGTGCAACAACACAAAAACTAGGTGATGACCAAAGACTGCTGGGTGCTGGACGTCACCGCTTATCAAACTATCATTACTCACACTATTTAATTGTCATGGTTTCTTAATTTGAAAGTGCTGCATAGGAAGTAAGTTCGTTGAACTATCAGACTTTAAATTCTAAACTGAACAAAAAATTACTGCTTGTAATGAAGTGATTTTCATTATTATTGTTATGCAGAGTGCCCCGAACATTTCACAAGATCGTGAAAGACAGAACATGTTAAGGGCACAACTTCCGAAAACGCAACTCAAATTTTCATTCAAAGGCACATGGTAGTCTTTGAGGACCCACGCTTGTTGGTAACCCATCGTGGGCTGCAATTCGGACTAGGCTTTTACTGAACTGTTGGTATGGACCCCAATCCCAGAGGCCACCCGTTTCATAAGAAGAACGGTGTGGTAAGATGGTTCAGTTGATAGGTGGAAGCGGCAAGTTAAACCATGAGGCACCCCTGAGAACCATGGCACTACCCGTAGTCCTGCAAAGTATCTGGAACGCGTTGAAAGCTGAGGTTCAATGTTTCACAGTCAAGCCAGTTTCTGGGACAACTCTTAGACCACCAGACGAAGCTGTCTCATTCTCGACTTCTTCCACTACTTTCGGTGGGACGCCGTACATCAGAATGATTTCAGACAGCATGCCCAGTAAGGCCTGGTCCCGTTCAAAGAAGTGATGTCTTTGTTCACAACGTTTTACAAGAAACGCCAAAAGACTCAGTGCCCCATGATGTCATTCCCCCATCGATTAAACCACCTTAGGACGGATAACTCGAGCACACCGTTACCTTGGATGAGTTCTACCGCCGAGAGAAACGTGAGTACAGACAATATCAATATAAAGTGTTCAAAAACAGCTCATTTCGATAGTAACTCTGGTTTAAGCCGCATCAGTTCTCCAGATAGCCATCTTGCAGAAGATTGTCGAGCTCCGAAACACCCCAAGGATGTAACGATGTAGTGTTGCGTGCTTTTTGATTTTGTTTACTTAGTGTATTCAAAAACGCTGACCAAACGTTTTGTTTGACTTCATTCAGTTTGTCTGTACAACTGTGGTGAAGTTCTTGCTTTGTCGCTGGTACTAGGGTTTTTCGTTTTGGTCAAAAGCTGTAATGGCCGTAAAAGAGAAAGTTTGTGAGCCAATGTTCCTTGCATATTTTGCTGCAAAGGACAATTTTTCATAGGCTTCATATACAAGTTGACTACACACTCGTTCGACAGCCCCATGTTTTATATTCGGTTGGTTTCACCTTGGATTTCGGAACTCTTGAGAACTCTTGGGGAACCCGCCTGCCCTCACACTCCTTCTTTCTGTGGGTCTGGAATGAACTGCACTGCGAGAGTCATACTGCTCTATCTGTCGACAGCTTCAAGAAGAGGTAGGACGGTTGCGCAGCAACGCATGGTTGGCGCTCATACAGATGGGATACGAATTACGGTTGATCCAACCTACTAGCTCCCCGCAACTCAGCACAGCTGACCCATAACTGAACCTTTTGTACTGCCACCATCAACACGAACCCGATTCAACCTTATACTTTCAGTTATCATCTCCTACGAATAGTAATGCTATCTCTTTTCCCATAAACCATCCCATAATCTTACTTGCTCCTTCTCTCCCCTCTGACTCAGTGTTATCACACTACCTAATAAAAATTCTCATCAGCGCTCTTCTCCCATGAACCTACCTCGGTTTCTTCTTTTACTCCGCTTCCTTTCACCTCATCTTTTCCTTTGTTTTTGTTCCCTTTTCTTACCACTTTCTCTCTCTTGATTTCTCGGGACATCTTTTCCGTCTCCTTTTCACAACCAGTCTGACCAATCGTCTGGTGGCATGACTTCTGAGGAACCTCTCGATACCACAGTTCTTGAAAAAACCACGCGATCCCCACTAATTCAGTCGACACCTGATCACCCGTCGGGCTGACCACAGCTACAGTAAGCGACTGGGTGAACATACTGCATTGGAACCCACCAAAGACCTGGAACCGTTCCGCAAGATCTGCAAGTGAGCATGAAGAAATCAACTGGTTCACACTAGCTTGTTATAGACCTTGGATATTGAGTTTTGTTTGTCTGGGCCGACTGTTGGATTTATGAGCTTGTGTGATATTTTGATAGGATAGTAACAAGTTGATAAATGGCATTTGAAGATAACGAACTTATGGTTGTCATGTTTACGATAAGCTCTTACTCAACTAGGCAAATGCATTTTATTACATAAGAGAGGGGTATCCACATCACGCATTCAAAGTCTTAGAGGCTGCTTCCAAAAAGTATCCCAACGACCCAATAATCAAACTCCACATTGGAGCTACATTTGTTGTAGAAGGTTTGAAAAGCTACATTCAGTTAAAAATCCTAGGTTTATTGCAAGAAGCACTGAAAAGCTTTAATGAGCTTAAAGATAAGGGAGAATTTTCCCTGGCCTCAATTGTTTCAGTAGCGCACATTCATAAGAAATTACCTGAAATCGGTATATGATTACGAAAATATTGAAGCACTTATGATATTTAGATCAAGAGGTTGTGAAAAGCTGCCAGAATGAAATAAGAGAGTTACGTAGACATGCTTCTGAAAGGGTAGCCAGTGCTTGTTTTGATAGTCTTATTTACTTTATCTTTGGTTTAGTCTCTCTATTTTACTGCATTAGTGCTATTTTTCTTCCAACGTTATGGAAAGGCTAAGGAATATGTAGAACGAGCTCTCAATGGTAACCTACTTTTTAAAGAGGTATGCTCTCATTTTAAATTTTCGAATGTTTGTTTATATCTTCAGGCTCTATGTCTTAATGGGTGGATTGATTTAATGGGGAATGATAAGGGCTTACAAAAGAATTCCATCAAGTATTTTGAGGATGGTGTCAAGTAAGAGAAAAATTGTGGTTTATTTCAATGTAGAGATGAAGAAGCAATTTCAGTCGAATGTTTGATGGGTAAAATAAAATATTTTCAGGTCTGCAAATCATTCTCCTCAGCAATGGATGTCATAAACATTGTAATAGTAGGCTTTCCCAGCTTCATTCCTGCTCTTATCGAGAAAATGAGGCTTCAGCTCGTATATCAAGACTGGGAGCAAGCTACAGATACAGCTGTTAGGTATGCAAATGTACAGTCTCTTCACAACGTAACAGGTGTTTATCGGTTGACTCAACATGCATTGAAGCACTTAAGTTTCAACTTTTGTGTCTTATTTGCTTTGAGGGGAATTATGCTGAAGTAATTTCACCACAGCACTGTTAATTTTTTCAAAAGGCATTAAAAAAGCTGAATGAACTTGAAATAGCATTGGGAAAATCGGAACCAAGATCGTCAAACCAGTATTATCTGGTTTCCAAGCTTATTTCAATAGTTGTGAGTTGGTGTGTTTTTATTGTATTCTGTTGTTCAACTCATCAAACTTGTCGATCTTTTTAGAAACAATGTTTAGTAATGTAATGTGTTGTTTTCCTCATAACCTTTCTGGATTTATGGTTTTAAAACTAGATTTGCATGGTAACATAAATAATCGTAGAAGAGACCTAACACCCACTCAGATGGACTAGAATGAATGGTTAATATTTGTAAATCCAAAGGAATGCAGCACAACTAAGAATAAAGCAACACGAAAGAAAAGATTTACCGATACTTCCAATAGTTGCGAATATTTATACCGTTTATTGTGGAGGGGATTTAATAAAGAATAATGGAGTAGATATGTAGCCTAAAACACAAAATGGTTAGTATTTACACATAACATCATTTTGCGTCTATCTGGATGAGAAACGTCATTCACTCTGAAGTCGACTCTAACTTGAAGTGTATTGTGACCTACAAAAGTGTGTGTATAAAAATGTACATTTCTAGGCAGGGTACTGTCTTATCATGATAAAATTAGTTCTGCGCTTTTGTTTAAGCCGCATATCATTACATAAGCTGTGTTTTTGCTGAGAGATGTAAGGTGTTGGTATTATCGTTACATTTTTTGTGGCTTACATGATCTTAAAGTTGTAGTAGTTGGGTGAGATAAAACGTTAGAATTTCTTATTGGTCTTAAAAATGAGTTTAAACCTGATCATATTCATGCATGAAGCAGTCATCCATAATGCTAATAAAATTTTCGTGTCAGATTTAATGTTAGGAAAAGTGGAATATATTAAACGTAGTTAATACCATGCATTTTATTTCTACTACAAAGAGAAAATGGTGCACTAAAAGAATCATAAACAAACCTTTGAAAACATCGTTTAGTCAAACTCAAAAAATTAATCGTGGTTTTCACTCTAGGACGTTATTTGAGATGCTTAGAAGAAATAAACTAAAATTCAAAGCGTTCTCCACATAAAATCCTTGAATTCTATTTTGAATGTCATATTTTAAAATGTTCCTAATGGATTTCATTAATTCATTTTAGTGTGGTCGTCATACTATAATGCTGCAGAAGGTTCAAGAACTATGTGAACGTGCAGTTGAACTAACTCCCTGGAATCACCATTATTTGATCAATTTAGGCCACATTATGCTCCTACAGGGAAAGCTTAAAGAAGCTGTTCTCCATTTTCGAAACGCACTGACCTTGTGTGAAACAAGTATAGACTGTTTAGTAGGTAATAGCTTACTACTGCATTCACGGTTAAATAATGCAGTTATGTGTTGTGCTTTGTTCAATATTTTTATCAGAGATTAAGATTTTAATTACTCATCGAAATTTACACCTCATATCTTTTATTATAAATAATGCTAAATTTGCCATACTTTCCTACAGTTACTAGAGAAATCCCTTGTATTTAACAGAAGTACTGGACTGAAGGTCACTTTCAACGCCAAATGGTTCAAAGTGATGATCGAAAACCCTTAGAACTGTTTTTATGTTTCCCTATGATTGACAATATTGTTTTCACACTACACGGAACGACTAATAATACCTTGAACTTTCGAGATATCATTCATAAAGGTACTCAGGGAAATCACTTATTACTGTTAAAAGTGAACGAAACACACTTATGAGCAGTAGACACTGACTTCCAAAATTGATTCAAAATCAAGCATCAGGCATTGAAATTTCAAAACATCTAGGTTGAGTCTCTGGCATTCAACTCTCTACCTCAACTTCATCTACTTTGAAAAGGCCTTCGACAGCGTCGATCGAGAAGTAATTTGGAAATTGCTTCAACACTACGGTTTTAGTGCCACAAACCTTTATCAACCTCATTCAACAGCAGCTAATATGTCAAGTGACTCACAATGGAAAGCGCAGTGACGCCATTTGAAATGAAAACAGGAGTAAGACAAGGCTGCGGCCTACTATCACCGATCATCTTCCTGATTGTGGTCGACTGGACTGAACTGGATCATGCATCAGATAACTGTGGGGAGCGAGAAGATGGGCTGGACCCATGAAATACCCTAGGAAATTTGGATTTCGCCAATGATCATTTATGTTTAATGTCTTATCGCACAAACTCGAAGATCTACAGGCAAAAACCAACAAGTTGACAGAAAAGGCAGAGCAGCGAAGGAAGATGGGACTTCCTTCAGGTGAACATAGGGAAGACAGAGGTGGTCAAGGTATCCAACCATTACTAACAACAACAAGCACCGATCACCATCAGTGGGAGAAACCTAAAGGAAGCAGTCTCTTTCACTTACCTAGGTAGCATTGTTTCAACCACAGGTGGCACAGATGAGGACGTCAAAGCCAGGATCGGAAAGACACCAAGACAGGCCTTCCTTCGTTAACCTGAAACAATCAGTGTGGAGATCTACTGCACTGCACTGCACTGTACTCAGCATAAAGCGTGAACAAGATCCGGATTTTCAACAACAACGTCAGGTGAGTGCTTCTATATGATGGTTGAGAGACTTGGTGCGTTACGATAAGCATTTCCAACAAACTACAGACATTCATCAACAGCTGCCTACACTCGATACTGAAGATCAGATCAGATGGCCAGAAAGAATAAGCAACAAGAAACTCTGGCTGGTAACGAACCAACCAAGAACCCATCGTCCAACAAATATGCAGAAGAAAGTCGAGATGGACTGGGCATACACTGAGAAAACCACTCGGAGACATCACGCGTCAGGCCAGGCAGTCGAGTGGAATCCAAAGGGGAAACGATGAGTTGGGAGTCCGAGGCGAGGGTGACATGGAGGAGATCGTGTGAGGAAGAAATGAAAGCTTCTGGGCAGTCGTGGAGCTAAGTTCAAAAGACTGCAGATAATAGAGTGCAATGGAGATGTGCTACTGAAGTCCTATAGTTTCACTAGGAACCCAAGGGACAAATAATAATAATAGTAGTAGACTAAGTCTAAAATTGAATATTTGATTAGAAAGATTTCGTAAACACTACATGAAACTACCTTGCGTTACTTTCTAATTTTGGGCTTGTTATTAGTCATCTTCCAAAATTAACAAGACTTGTGTTCAAATTGATAATAGAAAACCAAATAAGTGATTGTAAGACCATACTGTCTAAATGATCTGGAATAGAAGAACTTTTGCTTATGAGGCTCAGGTACTAAATATCACATCTACGTTACTGTTGATACATAAACAAAGCATAGCTGAATTTTAATAGAACCATTTCGCGAAACGTTACTGCTCCATAGATATTTCCTGATTTTCTTTATAATATAGATTGGAAGGACTTATGTCTGTAATATGGCTTGACGCATAAACCACAAGTACAAGGTTGCACATCACCTGTTGGTGAAGATCGTTACTTGTACTGATTGTGGGAAAAAAATGGACGTCTTTAGATGTTAATTGCAGTTTCTACTGTCTTACAAGACTGAAAAAACTAAGTGAACAGTGCAAAAGGGTATTGTAAAGTGATTAAAATTTAGTTTTCATACCGAGAATTACCTTTATCAAGTAATATTTGAAATGAGCATAATTAAGAGGTATATAGACATTTCAACAAGATTATAAAGTTTCAGGTAAGACAGGATTTCCTTAACTTCGGTCTTATTGAGAGTAAATTTATTGCACGACTTTAAATAACATCATATATTTTTAGCTATTGTTAAATGTCAACTGGTTCAAAACAATCTACAAGAAGCTTCAACTCAGTTAGAGTTCTTGAATGAATTACAACCGACGATTGGAAAGTCAGCGGTATGTTAATTACCATAAACTATTTTCTGGTAAATAATTTTCAATAAATTATTGGTCTAAAAACTGTGATCTAGTGAATTCAATTTCAACCGAAGCATGGGAATTTTACTCACAAGTTGATGATAATAAGAACTAGAGTTTGGTATTTTATTTCCTCAAAGATAAGTTCTAGCTCCCCTTACCTGGAATTCAGTCCAAATAAATGATAGACATCCATTGAATATCAACTTTATCAGCTGAATAACTTCTTGGTTTTGATTAAAATTAAGACAGTACTATTGCAACTACTTTTTGACGCTAAATAGATCTTTAAGTGATGTACTAAGGGAAAGAATTGTGAAACCTTTCCATGGAAGTTAATCTGTTTCAGTTGTCATAGTTTACAATACACACAAGGAGGAAATGGATCAAATCAAAGCATTGTTTTAATAACCATGTCGGCACTTGTTATATTCTCTAAGTGTCTGCTATACATGCCGACGCTTGGATAATAACCTTCAGACTTCATCACTTGATGGTCAGTGTGTTTCTTGATAATCGGACAAGGCAGTAAAATAGCAGAAGGAGTATCTGCAACGTCCTATTGATATTCACCCCTTAAACTATTCTGATATTTACACGTTGATTCATTTGTTTTCCCTCGAAACTTCGGTGCAACAAGATTGGTTGTAGAGAGCTTCAGGGCTTTGCAGTTCTTTATGAAGATTTTGGTACTCTTATTCCACTTTATAGCAAAATTGTTTCAAAGAAAAACGGAGTGAATAAGTTACGTTGACTAAATGTTCAGAATCTCCAAGGTGATGACGAGTAAATGAATCTCTTACACTGTTATAATCTATTTTGAGTAAGAGAAATACGACTGACGAACTATTGTTTCCTAATATCCGCAGCAAAATACCTTGTAAATAAGCTAAGTATGAGGTTTCTCATCTTCTGCATTCTAAAATAACTTTCTTTGTGGTCACTGGTTTGAAACCCACAGCGGACCAAATTTTCACTTCACCTTCAATCATCACTCAGTATCAGTGCTTCTCTACCAAACCGCGGCTAGCTCAGAAATACAAAATGATTATCCATATTATGCTCCCCCTCTCTAATTAAAGTGGATTTGGATCGGTGTGAGAAGTCCTGACTGGGCGGCCAGTGTCGGTATGATCAAACGGTAGACATGCATCACAAATTCACATGGTAGTGTGGCAAAACCCTTAGTGATTGAAGTCAAATAAAAATTTGATCAGCAGTCAGGTCTCGTAGCTCAGTTGGTAGAGCACCGGACCGAGAACCTGGTGGTTGGCTGTTCGAGACCCAATATGGCCTGGATTTTCATTCCACCTTCAATCATCACCCAGATCCAATACTTTCTTATTTGTCTGATGTTGTTTAGAATTTTCTTTGTCATCAAACCACATGCACCTCTTTAAGTAACTGAAATCTTGCAGTTGAAATCTTGTCTTTTTGAAATTAAATAGTTGAAATCTATTCAGGAAACAACAAACAGTCAGAAAAATCAAGGATTCACAAGTTTACTGCAGTTTCTCCACAGAGTTGCATGGCTGTTTCCTTGAGGATCTTATTATGTTTCATATGGTACCTTTTGTCTTTCATTTCCCATCCATTTTCCTACGTGTCATTTTGAACCTACCTGTAAAAACAAAGGTAACTGACTATTCAGTTAAAAGTTTCGACATCTGTCATTGATAATAACGATCTTGATTGCATTTTCTTTTTTTGTACACATTTCAACTTACAAATAAACTACACTCAAATTGTATTTCACACTAAAACTAAATTTATTTCAACAGCTGCACCTAATGCATTGTTGAAGCGATTCAACAATTTAAATAGTGATGGGTTTCTCATTTCTGCGGGAAAATCAATAAAAGTAGTGGCATCGACCACAGATGTCTTTGTTATTCATCTTCTTCATCCTCCTCATCACTGAAATTCTGAGTATTCTACTTGTCTTACTCTAATAGTGATATACCTTGTTATATTGTCACTTTGTTTATTTTGATACGGTTTCATTCCTTCTAGTTTTGTCTGAGCTGTTATATAGTAAGGAAACTTAGACCGATTTTCTTTCTCTTGAGGTTCTATTTCGATGTGCATCAAGTTATTATAGGAAATTTGTTTGCTCTAAACTTGGCGAGTCCCATCCTCTGAAGACGAAAAAACTCTGATTACTGTCATTGATTCATTTAATGACGGTGTTTAAGTGAACTGATGAGTTTTACAGTGATTGGAATTTGATGTTGACATCAAAATTATTGTTGCAAATAATTGTTTTCATTTTCAGGTAATAATTATAAATAAAGTGTACACCTATGAAATCCGATAAGACAAACATTCTTTTTCTTACTGATTGTGACTGTATTCCATGGATAAATTACAGGTTTTATTTAAGACATTACAGTAGTAGTAATGACAGTAGATATCGGTGAAAGTCATGCTACTAGTTATTACTACTGTAATGATAAAATATCAAACAGTAAGACAAATGAAAGTACATTCACCATATCACTTTTCATTAAATGGCTCCATCAGTCAATAATCAATGCTCACTTCCTGGTCTATATGTATTGATTAATTTCAAAGTGGCTTTTATCACGGATTGACATCAGCTAGAGAACTACCGTGAATCTGGGAGCATTAATCATCTAATTTGTCGTAGTTTAGGATCCCTCAGCAATGTATACCTACGACTGTGCATAGGACTGAGCCGAGAACCACACAGTCATTCAGCTGCAATGATACAATGGCCCAAGTATCTCTACTTCTTTTGATTTGCAATATAATGTCACCATCACTGCCATTGGTAGACATTCATCATGACCCTTGACTCGGTTGATGCTAATGGATATCGATATGGTGTAAAAACTACTTTGAAGCTAATCATGTCATTACATTTTCAAGAAGTTTTCATGACTTGGCTACACATCGTTCAATGATTAATGCATCTGTATTGCATCTGTCTCACTACTCCTAAATCATTATATCTTGACAATTTTGAAAGAAAGGAAACATGAAATTAGCCATAACGTTTGTGAATTAGATAGCGCTAACTTGTTTCAAATAAAAATTTATTGCATCATAAAGATAAAACATGAGTTCCTTTTTAGTTGGTAAAATATCATAAGTTTTACAAAGGTTATCTATGTCTATCATTTTATTCACTAGGAAGTTAATTATATGACTGCTGTGCTTAGACGTAAGCAAGGCTTACCAGTATCACAGATATTACCGCCTTTGAATGAAGCAATGGAATTACACCTTCGTAAAATCCAAGTAAGTAGTAAACTCTGTATTCTCGTTTGGAATTTTTAGTTGAAAGTTATGTTTCGGAGAAAGACTTTAACTACTATATACTTTCTTAGTAGGCTGTATAATAACCCAGCTTATTACTTATTTAGTGTATTTTACAAAACTGGATAATGGAATGATAGCGTTGATAAGAAATGGATACATTTCATATTTTCAGTATCCTTCTCTTTTCTGCTTCATTTCAAGTTGAAAAAGTCAACATAGAAAGTTGTAAAGAAATTTACGAATTATAATTTACCTGGTGATGACAAGCAGTGGGATCTAAGATAAGCTTTTTGTTCAATTTTTGCGACTTGTCAGCTAGATGTACCTGCACCGCAGTGAGTGATGGTTTTCGCAATGAGACGCAAGCAAAACAATCATCACCTCAAATGTCAAGTGTCAATGAGCAATAGCAAGTTGTGGCTAAAGTGCCTCAGTGACCCAGCGGATAACACCTTAAAGTTCAAAGTGCTTGATGTTCGGTCCCAGTTTATATCAGAACACCATCATCTACTGCAATGCATGTACATTCGGCTGACAAGTTCCAAACGGGACGAAACGTGTAGATTTCACTGCTGATCATTGCCAGGGAACTTATCGATGCATTCGACAATTCTTTTTCGTGGTTAGTACACATAACATAATATATACAACATTCTAGTTCATAACCTGCTGTTACGTTTCATGGTCGTTACTTAAGTTTACGACTGAACTTACAGAAAACTTTACTCATTCATGACACATCAAACCAATTATGCATGTAATGCAAACTTTTATTTCTACTTAAATTGTTAGCTTAAAAAATAATGCAACAAAACAAGTGGTTTTACACTGCGAACGATATATAAAAGTTGATAGACCGGTTGAATTCATCACAAAAATAAGGTAAAAATACAGAGACTAATTAATAAAGATGATACCATTCAACGTGTGGCACAACTAGAATGATTGAGGAGTTAAGTAACCTTTGATCAAGTGGAACTTTTACGTATCGAATATAATCCTTAGAGAAGAATATATTTTATTGAAACCTATATGATATGAATTTTTGCATTTGCATGAACCGTTCAAGACACTGAAACTTACGACCTACTAGGCTTTGCATTTTTCATTTATCGTCCACCTACAGAAGAAATGTTAAATCCAATGTAAAGTGATTTATATAGCTTCTCATCAAAAGATGTTGATTATCCTAGTGATTTGAACATCGCTAACAAGCCACTGTCTTCCATCAACACAATCTCTTTACGTGATATCATTACCATTTAAGAAGACCATTATTATGATTATTTGTGATCAGATATCTGCTGGCAATCTTTTTTTATATCCCTTCAGCATACCTGAAATAACTGTTATTATTAGGCTTTTTAAGATGAATAATATTAACGCTTCGGGAGTTTGACAGTGAGAAATCCTTTAGGATTGTCGCCGGTAGAATTAGTTGTCAAATCTATGAAGTTTAACGAGTCATCTTGATGCAAAAGTTTCTGCTTTTGGCAGATTCGTCGAAGACATTATAGGAGTGTGTAACGGACAGGGAGAGGCGAAATATATTCACAGTATTTTTATCACTACGATTATTTGGTCATGAGGGAAATCGAAAGACTGATATTGACACTATGTAGAAAGTTATGATACGCTTACTAAATAAAGAAAATTAGTACATTAGTAGGAGCAGCAGTTAATCAGATCACTAGCAGGTTACGTGAAACAGAAAATTTATTCGTGAACAAATGTACTGTAATAATATTATTTTGTGTAAGTACTTCATGACTGATTGGACTATGTACGCTCCGACGGTGGTGGAAGAGTTCTTCATAGATCGCATAGCACCACTAAGAAAGGTTCGCAAATAATGAAAAAACAAGGTAAAGAAATAAGTAAGGAATAATGAGTCATTTTCAATTTCGAAGAAGGTAGTAGGTGAATCCATTGAGTTATCATCTTAATTTCACATTTTTTCCGTACAAAATCTATAATTAATTACATATTGAATCTTTTGGACTTCCAGTGAGTGGGTTCGGAATAAAAGACTGTTAATTCATGAGGTGATATGTCGTTATATTCACATCATGAAGCTTTTTTAACTTACTCCTCTTTTTTTACTTGTAAGGCGTGGAATTTTTCCCAATCATCTCGGCCCACACAGGTTCATTTATTATCCTATTGTTCGTTAAGGTATGTGCTTGACTGCAGAGAACACATATTTTGTCCACACAGAATAGTTTTCCAATTTATTTATCACATGAAAATCCTGAATAGAATAAACTTCATATTCTCTGTTCCAGGAGAGTGCAAGGTTATAAAATTAACAGATTGAATTTGAACTACTTATTAGTAGTACGAATTGTTTACATTTAAAGTAGGATTTATTTAGTAAACGTGTATACGGCAATAACGTTATTGTATTACTTTTTTGCTTTCAGGGTGTTAGTTTGAGCCCTGAATATTATGAACTTTTGAATCCAGATTTTTTGATCCAACTTGTTAGTGAATACTTAATTCACGCCCCACCTCGACCTCCAAATATCAGTAGCACCTTTGGTGTTTCAAATAACGGAGCATGTGCGAATCAACAAGATGACTCTGTTCTCATGAGATGTCTACGTATTTTAGAACCACTCACCTCTGCAGCACCAGGTTTTCAGAGAGGAATATACCTTAAGTCTTATGTTCATTACATGTTGGGGAATACTTCAGTAGCATTGGCTAACGTCAAATCATGTTTAGATGTTAATCCTTCTTTCCTAGAAGGTTATATACTAGTGGCTCAGGTAAGTAATGAGATTTTTTCAGATTATAATTCGCAAATAAATTACTCACTTTTTTCCCACGGTTACATACACTAGGACTCATTGTTTTCACGCAAAATGTTGTACATTCAATCCATATGTTTTTAGCATAGAAAAGTCCTAAATTATCAAAAAAAGTATTCTCTAAAGTGTAACTAAATGTATTTCCGGTTTGGAGAAGAATTTGCCAGTTTTTTGGCGTGTTCAGACACGTAAAACTGTCCTAACATTTTGCTTGAAATAACCTCAAAGTAACTGAATAAAGTTATGCTGAACAAATTCATCGGTGTATTGTTTGAAGTAATAAACGAATAGAAAACAGTGTCTTCTTTTAGTTTTCATGACTGAAATTCTCATTTTGATCAGTAATAGATAGCTTGCTTAGCCTCTATAACGCATATTCCTCATAGAGTTCTATCCTGATTCAATCAGTTTCACAGTTACAGATGCCATGCCAAGTTTTGTAACATTTTTTCTTAACCTACTGACAATAAATCTTATAGATACATAACTAGTAGTTTTCTTCTCAGTGAAGACAGTAGGAAAAATGGTTGTTACCCTCTCAGAACTCAGTGGATGTACATAGTGAGCACTTCATAGGATGTTTGACACTCTGTATAAATTATGACACCTGGAAATACTCAATAATTACTTCGAATCACATTGTAAAAATTTCATATTAGATTTGTTTATTTGATGTATTACACACAGTGATAGAGTTTTATTTACTTAATGACTTTTCGAGCACAAATTGTTTCTCATAATCATATCAGTATAATCACGCCACTTTTGACATCTAATTTTCATACTCCTATCACCTCATATTTTTTGTTTTTATTGGTAGTACAATTTTCGACATCTCTGGTATAGGTGTTGCATCATTCCCATTACATGTGTTCTGTGTTGATTCGATGGATAGAGATTCAGTACATTGGAAATTCCCATTAAGATATTGAGAGAAAAAACTGATTGAGCGAAGAAATATATTCCTTTTCAATTAGGCCTTCATCTTTGACTCTATACTAATACAGGTTTACAATTTAATCAGAACACCAATAAAGCGGTGGGGGTTGATAAGCAATAATTACAGATTTTGAGTAAGTCATTAAGATGATAAGTTTAAAAAATCAACATACAAAGTTCGGGATTGAAAATGGTAATTGTAATAATGTGAAACACGTTATTCTCATGCAAACATTTAGTAAAACAAACAATATGAACTCACATTGTTCGTTTTACTAAATGTGTAAATGGGAATTTTCGCTTTACGGAAATCTTCTGAGCATTGAATTTCGTCAAAGATCCTCAATGAGTATTTGAAGTACAGTGCAAGGATCACTGAAGCGAAGACTTCAGTGAATTTTATCGATGAGTCCTCACAGTTTGTTTTACTAAAAAGGTTACTCTAAGGTAAATTGCTTAACTAGTGGTAAAGTAAGTGGAGTGTTTTTTCTCCAGTGGTAAGTCATGAACAATAAATAATTACGCAAGAATAACAAAGCAGATGAGTATTGGTTGAACAAGAGGGGGAGCGGTGTGTAAATTAATACTAAGATTTATATCCTATTGATAGCCACGGTAATGAAAGAATACAGAGATTAGGTTTGTTAAGATAGATTTCAATCACCTCTGCTATGTGAAGTAAGCGAATGCGTAGTCCGTGTGGTTTTGGGATGAATAGTTCTAAATGATTTTTTGGTATCCACTTGATGTCCGTTGTCAACTAAGTATGCTAGTATAGAGCTCTTTACTGTTCTGATCTGTCCCTTATAGAACCATGATGGGTGGTTCTGCAGAATTCGACAATGGACCTGCCTCATTGTACGCCTAATGTAACTAGCTCCATAGTAGTTTAAGTGATAAGTGCACATGGATGTGGCAGAATCAGATAGTCTGTCTTTACTTTTTGTATCTAGAACCGTGGGGTTACAGAAGACAGGATATAATTTCGCGGCTGGAAATGTTCTTTGGACGGCTTCTTTTATGTGTTGTGGGATGATCTCACTTACAATATCGCTCTTAAATTCCAATTTCAAGATTTGTTTCCTATAAATGGTTGACATTCTTGTCCTACTTTTTATAACATTCCAGTGACTAGTCACAAACTTTGCTGGATAGCCGTTCCTACTAAACAGATCACAGACAGTGGTGAAGTCTTCCTGTATAGCATCATGAAAGCAAATAGCTACGGCAAGTTGCGTTAGACAATTCACCAGGTTCCTCCTGTGTTGGAGGGGCACGACACATTAATCAGTCTCCTTCTTCACCTAATTATATTGGACTTAACTATAGTAGTTTTATACAAACCTATTGTCAGGTTGTGTGTTAATTCATGCATTACAATAGCCGAGATTTTTTCTAGATGACTGATCTTAGTGGAGTTTGTTATTCCATATTTAGCTAAGTTCCTATCCTCCGCTAACCTAACTGACCTAGACCGGCCAATTTAACCTACTTATGTGACCTTAGAGTCATTGCATAGAATTTGGTGCATTAGGTAATTTCGTTTAATCGGTTCTATCGGATACTTAAGCCTACAAAGCTTATCTCTGATTGTTTGTAGCTTTAAATCCCACGCTAATTTCACCCTTGTTCAGAATCTTATGTAGAGTTTCTGATCTTCCTTCCTTACGTGGTGACACAATAGAGGCTTTGAACTCCTTTTTTGCGTGTTGTCGCTGTTGTTCGTATTTGTATTGCTGTTATTATTTCGCTTCTTATATGTCCGTACTAATTTCTGAATAAACAATAGAGGATAAGTATTAATTGTTAAAGTTACTTTTATGTGTTTCAATTCGATGTTTAAGTCATTCCAATGACTAAAGAGTTTCCAGGGTTAAACCCGCCTTAACCGATATTGGACGAGATGATCTGAAGTCTAGATACCTGTTAGAATATGTCGGTTTCCTGTAGACGGTAATATCTAAACCACAATCTGTTCTTCGTTTTATTCCGAAGTTCAGGACGGTTTATTCTCTTGTTCATTTTCCATCTCGTAAGTGAACTGAATTGCTGCTACTACTATAACTACTACCACAGTGCCCATGTTTTACACTCATATTAATGAAACGCATTACAAAAACGTTAAGCATAGAGCTCAAATGTCAAGTATTTAACTTAGAAAAGAGTAGAATTACTGCAACAGATTGATTAAAGTTCAACTTGTGTTTACTTTTTATTGACGAGATATACAAGAAAGATAACTTCTATTTATAAAAACAGAGACTGACACAAACAACGTCAGCTGTTGTCAGTTCAAATGTCGGTTCAAGTTGTCACAGTTTGGACTAACAAAGTCATGGGAATCTAGTAAAGGGGAGGATAGTAAAATGAAATTAATAATATTAATAGTCATTAAGGTTATCAGAAAAATGTGTTTTCTAGTACAATATGTGGATAAAACGCGGATGTCTCCACTATTAGCCTATTCTATGGACCATATTGCCTAAAGTCTACAGTTATATATTCCTTCTGTCTTGCAGGCCTCAACCAGGAAGCCTATACTTTTATGAACGTCATGGCCTGTCATAGTTTATCACTTCTCTAGCTTGATCTTGTTTTAACTAACACAATACATAGGTTTGATTTCGGCCAACAACTGATAATTTATGAACCATTTCATACTGACCAATACACTACTCGTAATCTCTGTATTGATCAAGTAGTGACTTCAGTACCTATGAGCATCACTACGAACGTAATTGCAGTTATAGACGGGAATTTTTAACTGATCTTTGACTTTCAAGCACTTAATCGAATAAAGTATACTGCTGCACACCACTTAATATTTAGTAGGCATGCAAACATCCTTCTTGCTCCACATATTGCATAAGTTTCCAAGATTTTATAGGACCTTTTTAATCCATGATTGCATTTCGTCAACCATCAATGTATAGTAGTTAGTTAAAATTTTCAATAAATTACTTTTTTATTTTCAATGAAACCACTTCTTGAGCAAGATTTTCCAATGGAAGAAGAATAAATGACTAGCGAAGATTTTATCATTATAAGTCAGAATTATCAAATGACGCTGAATGTCATCATCACAATCATCCCCACCAAGCAAAGTTATTTCCTCCACCTGCTGTAAATCAGTTAAGAAATCTCTGCAGTAAAGATAAACTCCTGCAAGTTTAGAAGAACAAAGTTTTAGCCTCAAAAAGCACACCTTTGAAAGATATTAATGAATCTGTAGAGAGTAAGTATCTCTGAAGGTCACCAATAGACATAGTCATCTTAAAAAATAACTCACTATATATTCTGACATGGTTAAATGTGTCTAAGGAGATGGTCTTACATACTTACTTGAGAAACATTACCTTCACAAAAAGTTGATATAAAATCTTCCAGTTGGCGGAATCAAGTTCTACCTTTGTCTGCAAGTATATAACCAGTAGCAGATACTAGTAATCATTTAAATGTTCCCAGTTATTAGTGATAATGCTAGGCAAGTGAATTTGAATACTTCTAGAAGTAGCTCTTGAGGACATGATGATTTCAGCCTCATCAACTTTTATCAATAAGTTAAATATAGGGATCAGAATTTGTTGTATTGTTGTTATTTCACAACTGTAAGAATCTTGAGGTTAAACTTCTTGCATTAAAATCTTTCTTCGCCACAACATAGTGCCGGAATATAGTGAGCCATTGTTCATGATAACCTGTCAAAAAAAAGACTGAAACGTCTAATATGAGATATTTGGATACATTTGATTTCTGAAAATAGGATAATTAATGAAAATGGTTTCATTAAAACAATAAACAAGATGATGTTTATGTTCATCACTTCAAGATTTGATCTGACTGGAGTTGTGGAATTTCGTCGTGAGAACATTTGGTATTCATCCATAGTTTTAAAGGAGAGACATCAGACAAGAAGGAAAAGATCAAAACTGCATCGTTTATAGGTCTGTATCTTAAGTGCATAGGTCCACAGACTGTAACGGTAGAAAAATATGCATTTAGAAGAATGAAGCAACGAT